GTCTCAAACTGGTGAACCTCCTCCCTCTGCCTTTGGAGTACATGGATCATGAGTGGAGTCACTTCTACCCCATTCAATAGAAGAGATTTTTTAATGTTCTACCTAAAAGAAATAGTAAATATGTATGAAGTGACATGCTAATAACTATGGTATGTTCATTATCATTTGTATACAGGTATTCAAACCTTACCTTGTAATTCATAAATATGCACAAATAAGTATCAATTAAAGAAAACCCCCAATCAGTATTGTGATGCATCCTGTAATCCCAGCTAGTCAGGAGGCTGAGGCAGGAGGATCACAAGTTCAAGGCCAGCCTGGGCAACTTAGCAAGACCCTGTGACAAAAATAAAATAAAAAGAGCTGATATGCAGCTCAGTGACAGAATACTTCCCTAGTGTGCGTGAGGCCTGGGATCATTCCCCAGTAATGCAAACGAAACAACACAAAAAAAAACCACTGGTAGAGTAGAAGCTTGGGGTCAGACAGAGCTCATTTCCGTCTGTTTACCAGCCATGTAATCTTCCCTTGCTTTACTTAATCTCCCTGAGGCTCAGAGAGATCCCAGGCCCTCATTTATAAAATAATAACCACCTCACAGGGTTGTTAAGAAAATTAAACGTGGCAATGGGTGTGACAGAAGCTGACACTGTGGAAGCAGTCAGGGGACATTAGCTGCGTTTCCAGCTTCCTTCCTACAACCGAACCACGGAATTCCACATTCCATTCTTCTCTCCCCAAAATACAGGAATCAAAGGAAGAAAACTCCACTTCCCCAACCCACCAAGAGGTGGGTCAGAGCCAAGGTGGTGAACAAAACAGACTCCTGCCTGCCCTCATGGAGTTTTAGTGTAGTGGAAGAGACGGACGTGAGTCAAACAAACTACTCCAGTGGCAACAGCTGCAAAGGAGAGAAGGGATCTGGCCAGGAGGTGAGAGAAGCTCAAGGCTGATAAATGATTAGACATTAAATAGGTGAAGAAGGGAAGAGATTTCCAGGGAGAAGAAAAAACAAAACAACAGAAAAGTCCTATGGTAGGAAGAAATGCAGAGCTATGGCATGGACAGATGAGTGTGTAGAATATACAGGTCTCTAGTTCATAGGCACCCTCTGGGCTGGAGGGGTAAACACGAGAGCCACATATGAGCAAGCAGTGACTGAAACAGGGGAACAGGCCTGGGGGAATCGACCACTAGAGAGAGAAGAGGGCCTACGACAAACATTTAACAGCCAAGAGCTGGAGGGTAGCTTCACAGGAGTATGGAAGAAGCAGCCTAAGAGGTGTCACATCATGGAAGCTAAGGGAGGAGTCGACTGTGTGAAACCTAACTGTAAGGCACGGCTGTGAGGCTGAGGCTCCATGATTAACAGTGGTCCCTTCACCTTCTGAATACAGCCCCCATTGCTCTAAGGCTTCTTTCTTTTAAAAAATGTTTTTTTCTCTCTTCTCCCCTCTCCGTCTCCCTAAAAAGATTAGGGAGACAGTGTTATCTTTTCTTCCCCAAGTTAACTGCCCTTGCACACACCCAATACAGGAAGGAGATGACACCAGCTGAGGATGTCAGAAGTGAATATCTCCCAAATTAACAAGTGAATCCTAACTCAACATCAGGGCGCCCAGAGCATACCTGGAATGTAACCCTTAAAGAGTGTCTTTAAAACCCCCCTCCTGATTGGGAGAGTCAAAGCATTTGGAACAGAAGGCCCCTGTGCTTCTCCTTTGCTAACAAAGCAATAAACCTTCCTTTTCCTTTTTCTCAAAACCATGTCCTTATTATTAAATTGGCATTGGGGACAGGGAATGAGCTTTCAGTTACAGTAAGAGGCCACTGACTGACAGGACCCGGCTCACCCAGCGGGGCAGTAATACTGGAGAGGCCTTGATATCTAAGCACTGGGGGCCTATGAGATCTCCTGGAGGGGCCTGGGAAGTGACTGGCATATTACAAGCTCTCCTACCAGCAGCTTCCTGGGAGGAAGAATGGAAGAACAGACTCGAAACATCCGCCACTGAATCCAACGATCCAGCCTTGGGAAAGAGCAGATACCAGCCTAGACATATCCTCTGTCCTCTGTCATGCTGGTTAAATATGCATGGCTTTAGAACTAGGACAGGACAGTACTTGATCTGACACCAGGGTGCAGAACAGGGGCTCTCCCACTCCAATAGCTAGCAAGGCACCTGGACTAGGGCCTCTAGTGGGGGCCTCTAGTCGCAGCATCAGCTGCAGCATCAGCACAGCTATTTTCCAACACTCCCACCCTCAGCACCTGTCCTACTTACCTGGCAAGACACCCGGACCTTGGACTTTGACTGTCTCCTTGTCCTGGTCGTCCGCCTGCTCTGAGTTCTCGACCACCTGTTCCAACTCTTCACTCAGCTAAGGGGAGAAGCAAAGCGGGTGAACAGGTTGGCTGCGTCCGCCTTGCTTTTCTAGACCAAAATAAGAAAGCAGAAGCTGCGACTCACTGAACTGTCACCAAAAACACCACATGATGTAGTGTGAACTACAAATCAGGAAAATAGAGTTCAGAAAACTCAAGGAACTTCCTGTCTTAGTTTCCTAGGACTTCCATAACAAAGTGCCACAAACTGAATGGCTTAAAACAACAGGACTATCTTCTCTCACATTTCTTGGAGGCTAGGAGTTTGATATCAAGATATTGGCAGGGTTGGTTCCTTCCAAGAGCTGTGGGGGGAAATATATCCCATACCTCTCTCCTGGCTTCTGATGATAGCCAGCAATCCTTGGCATTCATTCCTTGGCTTACAGATGAATCTGATTTCCAATCTCTACTCCATCTTCACAAGGTATTCTCCCTGAGTTTGTGTCTTCATGGGGTCATCTTGAAGGGCACTAGTCATGCAGATTAGGGCCATATCCTACTTCAGTATGACCTTACCTTAACCCGAAATGACCTTATTGTCAAACAAGATCGCAGTCTGAGGTACCCGGAGTTAGGACTTCAACATATCTTTTTTTGCGAAACACAATTCAACATATATTTTTTTGCAAAACACGCCATGGCCATAAAGTTTGTGAAAGAAAAAGTTGGGAGTCAATCCAAGTTGGTCTAGTTCCAAAGCCCAAGTGCTCAACCTCTTCCTAAAGGAAGAGGAAGCGTGGCTTTGAGTCGGCTGAGAGAGAAAAGGGAACAGTGAAGTTGCAGTCAGAGCTCTCTAGGACTCTGGCTAAAGTCCACTGACTTGGGCTGCAAATGGCAGAACCAAGTGGGAAGGGAAGTCCAGGTGACAGGCCAACCTCATCTCACTTCATCAGTGTTCTCACCTGTCAAAGGGGAGAAATTATACCTCTGAGAAGGACAGAAAGGATAACAGTGATAATCACCAGTCTCCATAAAATTAGGAGGGAGGGCATGAGAGGTCAGAGTTGGGATGAGGAGCTATCACTGAATTGGGAGGCAGTGGGGTAGTTTTCCCAAGTGTCTTCTCAGGTACACAGTGTTAACACTTTCAAGGTACTTTAATTAAAAATTCACCTCCAGGAGACTTGAGTTAAAAAAAAACAAAACAAAAAAAAAAAAAAAACTCATGCATCTGTTTCTCTTCCATCTCCTTTACCAAGCATACACCCCTGCCCTTTAGAATCAGGCAAAAACCTCCAATTTCAAGCCCTCCAATCACATTAAAAAAAAAAAAAAAAGCAAAGTGAAAAAATAAAAAGGAGAGAGCTGTGAGGTTGGGGAAGACATCATGATATACAGGCCTCTATAGGAGCCCACAAAAGGGAACCCCAGAGTCTCACTGGCCAAAATGAGATGAGGTTGTTAGAACCAGGAAGCCTCAAAGTTTATGATCCCAGCTTCACCTGGATTCATCTTGACCCACATAGCAACATCCTCTTACCCAGGTCCCTTCTTGATACCTGCAGCCATAATAAGCCCACCTCCTTGCCTACCCCTTCCTTCAAAGCCAAAACTTCCTCTCAGCAAAGACACCTATCTCAGAGCTAGGTCCACTCAAATGATTCAGGCAAGAAAGATGCAAGTCATTATCTGGGCAATCTTCTTGGGACTTCAGAGTACCATCCACCATGGGAATGCCCCCAGTGAGCAACTGACTCACCTGTGGCCTTGCCCTTGCAAGTGGGATAACGGTCTATATGTTAATAAATATTTTATGAGCCCTGTTAGGTGAGGAGATACTGCAGACTATGTGTGGAGCCAGGATCCTGTTAAACCTGGACCCCAAAGTTCCCTAGAAGAAGGAACTACCGGTTATTCTCTGAGGACACTGAGCTCAGCACTTTCCATATACTAACTCATTTGTGAACAGTGAGTGTCCAGTATGACCAAAGCCTAAGTGGGTGAGGAGATAGTCAAAGTAATACATAAAAAGTTGAGCTGTACATGGTTTTGAATCCTTGCTGAGAAGTTTGGCCCGTTCTGGGTAGACCCAGCATCAGGGCTATGAAAGGAAAAGGCTCTGGGGTCAGGGAAGACCCTCAAAGCAAATGTGGAGAATATGAGACTGGAGAATGAGGGGGTAACACAATATCACACTCGGGTGATTAGAACAGACACAGGGACACAAACTGGAGGAAGAGTTGAGGATGTGGACCTGTGTAATCTTGACAAGTGAGAGGAGCACAGTGGAGGAGAATAGGAGAGGAAGATTACCAAAGATGACCAAGGTTCAGGTGGAGAGAGGAGAGCAGTTTCACCCACAGGCTTAAGAAGCCAGGAGGAAGAGTACTCTGAAGGAAAAGCTGGAGGCTCAGCTTGTACTCAGGACAGACAAGAGACAAAGAACTGGAGAAAGTGATCCTTAAAGTCGTGGGAGGAGGTGAGATTGAAGGGAGAGGAGTGAGAACAGCAAGGTCGGCGAAAGTACTTTTTTCAAAGTTAGGCGGCCACCAAAACAAGAGATAATGATCCCTGCCATTAACCAGCCACGGGGACCACGCGGCCTCGAGCTAAAGGAGAGCTGATGCCCAATGCGCATCTGAGCTCGCCGCGAGGAAGACGCACCCGATTCCACTTGTTGCAAAGAACCTCGCTTCGGTCGACTGGCCGCACTATGGACCGGGACCAAAGGGGCTTTAATCATTCACCTGCTGGTTACGGGTCGCGGCTCCAGGCACCCGACTCCATCCCCCGGCCAATCGACTGGCAGCATCCGGAGGAGACTGGCACCCGCGCCGCCACCCGGCTTCCTTCCTTCCTGCTGAGCAGCTCCTCTGCACCCCGGGACCCTCTGAGGACGCGCTCACCCCGCTTTGGCTGCACAGCCGGATGCCCCCACGCAGCCCGAGCCCCCCGGCACCCCACCCCCAGGATCCCGAGACCTCGCTCCTCCGCCTCACAAGAAACTCCCTTCCTTCCCCTGCTCCCTCGTACCTCCTGGTAGGATGTGGTGAGTTCCTGCCGGATCATGGCACTGACCAGGGCTAAGGTTCACCTGAGTCCGCGACAGCCCGGGAGATGCAGGGAGTGAGCACCGCAGCTGCAGTCTGGGGACCTGCCGGCTCCGCAGAGCAAGACCGGTTCGAAGCTGCGTCCCAGACACCCGGCGTGACGCGCTAGGCGCATGCGCCTCGCTCCTGCAGCCGCCCGGGCGGGCGAAGGAAGTGCAGGGAAATGTAGTTCTTGGCAGGGCGCCCCTCGCCACCCCTGGGAAACAGGAGCCCAAGTGTTTGGCTGGCCAAACCCCCGGCCTTCGACGCGCGTGCCTCTTTGTCTCTCACTTCCTCTCTCTGTTGGAGGGGGAGGGTAAGTGGAACAAAGAGGCCAGATCAGATGGGTAGGACCGCCTAATCTATAATTGCAAGCGGAAGCTTGGTTCAGCAATAAATGTCTGGAAGAGCGCTTTGTATGTTACAAAGCATTCTCACTTTCTGCCCTTGATCCTTCAAGGGCCCCTCTAGGAGGAATATGTTTCTCCCTATTTTGCAGATGAGGAAACTGAGGTATCTTGTTTCAGAAAGGATGGAAGAAGAACAGTGTGATCAAGTGAAGATTATATATCCAAGAGTAGACTACAGAATTCATGTTCTTTCCATCATTCCTGAGGCACACACTTGGAGTCGGGAGTCCTAGTTCTTGTCCTTGCTCTGCCCCTCACCCTGTAATCTAGCAATGAACAGAACTCACCTGTTTCTGCCTCAGCACAACTGCTAAAACCTGCTCTGTTTCACTGGGCTTCATGGGAGCCAAGAGAGTTCGTGCAGTGAACACCCAGAGGTGTTAGTCAACCACAGCAGAAGCAGGGAGCCCTAAATGTGGCAGAGAATTGGGTGTTGGCCCTATGGAGGGTGGACTTGAGGACCACCCACATCTCCCATGCCTGGCTAGCTGGTCTGAGTGGCCACCCTGAGCTGCTTAGTGGTGAAGCAGATAGAGACTGCTTATTATGCCTTAGTGAATGCTGCTCTGTGTCCCGAGCAGCTGCAGCTTTGCAGCCCCCTCCACTCAGGCCACTGGGCCTCTTCCCTGCTGACAAGCACAGTAGCACCAACCACATCAGAGCATCCTGGGCCTCCTGAAGCTAGCAGTGGGAGGTCCCTTGCCTCTCATGATCAACCTGCTCAACCCCAGGACCTCTGGTCTTACATCTATTAAATGGGACAATATGTATAACACCCAACACATTGTAAGCACTCAACTGCACATTTGTTAAATGTGAATAGAACACTTAACACCAGTCATTTCACTTATCAATTAAAACAATCAACTAATTAAATCTTTTAGTGCATTCATGCAAAAGTGGTTGGTAGAACATGTCACACAATCATAAAATTTTAGACTGGAAGGAACTAAAGCAATCTATTTCAGTCCTATCGTACCTCTCTGCTCTTTGTTGGTATGACTAAACTGGGAAATGATGGTCTCCCTTATTTGAGGAGATTAACTGATTAATATAATTTTTAACATGGTTTTAAAAATAAAATGTGACACAGAGTGTGGTGGCGCACCCCTGAAATCCCAATGGTTCTGCAGGTTGAGGCAGGAGGATCGCAAGTTCAAAGCCAGCCTCAGCATGGTGAGGCACTAAGCAACTCAGTGAAACCCTGTCTCTAAATAAAATACAAAATAGGGCTGGGAATATGGCTCATCAGTCGAGTGCCCCTGAGTTAAATCCCCAGTATCAAAAAATAAATAAAATGTGCCAGGCATTGGGGTATACAAATGAATGATAGCCCAATATTCTTGCTTCTGTGGCTCTCCCATGCTAGTGTACACAGATAGACCATAAAGTAGAGCTTTCAGTCCTTGATGTCCCCAGGTCTCTCCTCCCCTTCCCTTGTGAGCACACACTAATTAAATTTTCCAACAGAACAGTGGTTATCAGGGTCCCAAATGACCTCTGCGATGTCAGATCAGATTCCATTTCACCATGTTTCTGTTTCTTGATTTATCAGGGACACTGGACTCAGCTGATCCTCCCTTCTCCGTGATACACTTTCTTCCCTGGTTTCTAGGACACCTCCCACTTTGCTCCTCCCTGGCTTGCTGCTCCTTCTCAGCCTCCTGTACTGACTTCCCCCTCATCTCGGCGCTACAGAGTGACCTTCTCCTTCCTCCTTACTCCCTAGGAGTTAGTGAAGTGATCATCACTAGTCTCGTGCTGGAATTACCATCTGAACCCTAGAGATTCCTACTATGATTTGAATGGTGTCCCTTCAAAATATGTTGAAATTCTGACTTCAGTAACTTAGAAATTTGGAAATAGGGTCATTGCAGATGTAATTAGTTAAGATGAGATCAAAAGGTCACTTATGACTCTACCACTTTGGTTTGTCTGGCAGAGGTACTTGGACAAATTACTCCTGTGGGAACACTAACCATGTGTTGTGTGGTGAAAGGGACTCCTTAGCCCAACAAGCCTTGTGTGCATAAAAAATGATGGAAGATAATGTGAAGACAGACACGGAGAAGACCACGTCATGACAGAAGCAGACGTTGTAGTGATGCAGCTGCAAGCTGAGGTGACTTCAGTTATTCACATGCTGTTTACAAGTCCCAACTCCCAGGTCCTGGCTCCATCCCTTGGCCAAACAATAGGCAGTATCTCAAGGATTTCCAGCTGCCAAGAGAAGCTAGGTGCATGTCCTTGTTGACACCTTGATTTCAAACTCATAGCTTCCAGACGTTGAGGGAATAAATTCCTGTTGTTTTAAAGCCTTCTAGTTTGTGGTTCTTCTGTGCAGCAGCCTAGGAAACCAACACAGTCCCCAAGTGTATACAAATGCATGATTTCCAGCCTCCCACTCTCCCCTGAGGCTCAGGCTCACTGCCCAGCTTCCTGTGCCTCTTCTCCCCTGATGCCCACCTGGCAGCAGCAGAGCGCAGCTATGGAAAGCACAAACCCTGTAGCCAGAACCCCTGGTTCTCAGGCTTGGCTCTGCCACTTCCTGACTTTGTGATCTTGGGAAATTAATTTCCCTGTGCTTCAGTGACCCCACAAGTAATGTGGGAACATTACCACCAATTCATAGAACTCTGAGATGTGAAGAATTTAGAACATTATCTGGCACATGTTAAGTAGTAGATTAGTGTTAGTGGTTATCTCAAGGTTCAAAGCCAAACTGGGGAATCTTCTTACCCCAAATCTGCTCCTCCCATCGTTCCCCCACACTGTTTTAAACCCCATCCTTGAATTCACTCTGGCCCAAACTCTTGGAGTCATTTCAATTCCTCCCTTTCCCTCACACCCCACAACTAAATCAGCAAATCCTCATGGCTATAATTTAAAAATGTATTTAGAATCTGAGTACTCTTCACCGCCTCCGCCATGGCCACCAATCCAGCATTTCTCATTGATTATTTTCTGTGGCCTCCCAGCCAGGCTATTTCTACCCTTGATGAATGTAGGTTTTTCCTGACAAAGCAGCCAGGGAGAGCTTGTTAAAGTCAGATCAAAGGGCTTCTCTGCTCCAACCCTTCCAAATCCAAAGTTCCACAGTGACCTACAAGGCCCAAAGGATCTGTCCTCCAGCACCCACCTTTCCTAATACTCATGCCCCCCAACTCCCCAGCTCCAAGATGTTGAGCACATTTCAATCTAGCACCAGGCTGGGGGTATAGCTCAGTTGGTAGAGTTCTTGCCTTGCATGTACAAGGCCCTGGGTTCAGTCCCCAGCACCACAAAAAACCAATCTAGCACCTTTGCACTGGATATCCAAAAGAAGTCACATAGACATTCAAAAGAAATAGATGTACACATGACTCACTTCCTCATCTCCTTGTCAGATCTTTTTCCAAATGTCAACTTATCACCTTCTTCTGAGAAACCCATTAAAACAGCAAACTCCATTTTCAACAATCCTTCTACTCCACTTTTTCTTACTAACACATGCACCTTCTGACCAATTCATTTATTTTCAGTCTCTCTCCATGAGAGTGGAAACTCCAGGAAGATAGAGTTCTTTTTTCTCTCTCCCTCTCTTTCTTTTTTAGAGCTTTATAGTTATACATAGTAGTTGGCTTCATCCCAACAAACTCATACATGCATGGAATTCGATTTCAGTGCATGATTCCCTGCTCTTTTCCCTCCAGTCCCCTGTCCCTTCTCCCCTCCCCCATTGAAGGTGGTATTCTTTTTGTACTGCTGAATCCCAGTACCTTTGATGGTGTTCTTCTTTTACTAGTTGTTCAAATAGTTGTTGACTAAACAAACAAAAACAATCTCACCTAGCAATAAAAGCTCAAAAGAAAATAAAACTGGGCACTGTGGCACACACGTATAATCCCAGGGGCTCAGGAGGCTGAGGAAGGAAGATTGCAAGTTCAAAGCCAGCCACAGCAACTTAGTGAGGCTCTCAGCAACTTACCAAGACCCTATCTCTATATATATATATATATATATATATATATATATATATATATATATATATATATATATATATATATATATAAAGGGCTGAGTCCAATCCTGGGTACCTAAAAAAAAATAGATATGATAGGGCATGACAGTAGCTATGAGTGGGGTACACTAATTTATCTAAGCAACATTAAGGGAGGCCTCATGAAAGAGAAAGAGACCTTATGATGGTAGCTACTTTTGAGACCTGAATGACAAGGGGCCAGCACACGATGTTCTGCATCCCCTGTCAGAGAGGGTACAGAACAAAGGCCCTAGGCTGAAGCACAAGCAGGAGGCAGTGCAATTGGAGAAGGCAGTGTGATCAGAGAGGTAGGCAGGGGTCAGAAACTGGAGACTAGGTTGAGCTGATCCTGGGCTTGTTTATTTTCAGATCCATTTTTCCCTCTCCCCTGTTCAGCTGCTGGTTGCAGGAACAGGCCCCATGTGCTCGGTTTCCACAGAGTTTGGTCAAGGAAGTACTGCCAGAGATTAGAAGGTGTCATGGTAAGGGAAAAGCCAAGGTTTTCCTCTGCACTTTCCTCTTTGCCTTCAAATACACTGCTAGGCCCTTCCCTGCCTCCGGCAGCAGTCCTTCTGTGACTTCATCCACTGTACAACAGCTTCATATCATACTAGCTTCCACCAGGTGACCCAGGCTGCAGGAGTCTCGTACTAAACACCACCTCCTCCCTCCCACTGGCAGGATAGTGACTTCCTTCTGTTGCTCTTCTCTAGTTGCTTTGGGGTTGTTGTCTTGGCCCCTTCCATCATCTGTGTAACTTACTACCCATATCACAGCCATTCTGCTTTGCTCAGAATAATTTCTATTTTCCTTGAAGGTGGCTGATTCCAAGTGGTTTGAAAAAATGAATCTGGGTTCATGTAGAAAAGGACAACTGGGCCAGGCGTGGTGGTCTATGCTTGTAAGCCCAGCAGCTTGGGAGGCTGAGCCAGGAGGATCCCAATTTCAAAGTCAGCCTCAGCAATTTAGTGAGTCCCTAAGCAACTTAGCAAGACCCTGTCTCAAAATAAAAGGGCTGGGGATGTGGCTCAGTGGTTAAGTGCCCCCGGGTTTAATCCCTGGTACCAAACAAAAAAACAACAAAAGAAAGAATGAAAGAAAGGACAACTGGTGGGCGGTGGGGGACAACTGGAGGGCATATGAACACATTATTCAGTTATACGCTTCCTCAGCACCCCAAGGAGGAGGCAGCTACATGTGATCAGTAGAAATTACAGTAGGATCTTTTGACTTAACAAAGGTCCTGACGCACCCTATAGAAAAAGAAAGGGCTTGGGCAGAGAGGCAGCACATTCTGTGGTACAGATGCTGTAAAGGGCCATGCCATTCTACCCCAGGGGCTTAGAAGGGCCTCCTCCAACCCAGGGGTCCTGTGTCATGCACAGCAAAGTTTACATAACCTTCCATGTCCATTATCATTGTTAGTTTCAACACAATCCTAAGAAAAGGGCAGGCTGGCATGTCACTGAGGCCACAATTGAGATTCAGAGGGCTAATGGACAGATCCTGTTAAGGTCATTCTACTCCAGAAGCCCCTTCTGTTGAATAAGTAAATGTGTAAACATTTGGTACAGACACTGAGGGGAGCTATAACCTGGTGGTTAGGACAGACTTGAGAACACATGGCCTAGGCTTGAGTCTTGGTTCTGCCACCTGCTATGTGACCTTGGACAAGATACTTTAGGTCCCTGCACTTCAGTTTCAGAATCTGAAAAATGGGGGATAATAATGATTTTTACATTATGGAGCTATAGTGAGGTTTAAATGAGTTAATATGCATAAAAGTGCTGGAACCAGTACCTGACACAGTAAGCCCTTCTGTGGTCTCCTTTGCCAGTTCTTCCAACCACCAAATGTTGGCAGGCTTAAAGAGCTCAGGCCTTGGTCCTCGCCTCCTCTCTCCCCATATGGATTTCCTTAGCTATCTTATCCAATTCTGTGGTTTTTTAGATATAATCTATGCACCAATGATTCCAAAATGTATTACTCTCCCCTAATTCCAGATTCATATATTCAACTACCAATTTGCTATTTCCAGTTAGATGTTTAATATGTATCTCAAACTGAAAAGCCCCAAACTTATCTTGATGGTCTCCCTTCAAAACCTGCTCCTCCTACCATCTCTCTTATCTCAGTAATTGGCAACTCCATCTTTCCAGCTGCTCAGGCCCAAAACCCTGGAATCACCCATGACTAGTCTCTGTCCTTCACACCCCTTATCTCAATGGCCAGAGAATCCAATTAGCCACAACTTCCAAACAAATTCAAAATCCAGCTACTTCTCTCCATGTTCCCTGGTCCAAGCCGCTATCAAGCTATCAATCATCACTTGCCTGGATTATTGCAATGGCTTATTTGCTTCTGCCCATTTTCAGCATAATAGCCAGAGTTATTTGATTAACATTTCAATTTATTCTTCTGTTTCACTCACTCTGAATAAAAGACCATGTATTTTAAAAATACACTGTGAGGTTCCATAGATTGCACCTCCACCCAGTCACCTTACCCTGCTACCTCCTGGACCTCATTTCCCACGGTCTTCCCTCCTTGCTGTTCTTCCAGGAGGTAGGGCATTCTCCTTCTTCAGCATTTAGGACTTGGTCCTTTGCAGAGATTGCTCTTTCCCCCAGGGCTCCCTCCCTCACCTCCAGAAGATTTTTATACAGACTCCTCCCTACTTAAGGCGGCAACTCCCACTTCCCAATTCCTTTGACCTGCTTTATTTTTCTCCCTAGTATTTATTACCTAACATACTACTTACCTAGCTAACTTCATGACTGCCTATAGAATGTAAGCTCCAGGTAGGCATGGGTCTGTCCTAACCAATGATAGGTCACCAGTAACATGGTACATGAAGGACCTTAAAAAATACTTTCTGAATAATTCAGTGACCTTAGCTTTGTACAAATGTTACCTTTTATTACACGCTTGTGTTGTGCCCTACCCTTTGCAAAAATCCCTTTGGGGACTCAACATTTAAACACAACTCGAAAGGAGAGGGGGTTGGGGGGAAAGGGAGAAGTAAAAGCGACTTAATAAAATTGGGGTTCTATTTTTTAAATATACCAGCCTAGGTGCTGATAAGTGTCATTCGTGAACCTAATGAAGGAGCTACACTGACATCTGTTGTGTGCTAACTTTCAGTGGGTAGTTTGGGGTAAGGAGCAGGGGTTGTCATCCTACTTCCCAAGTTTCCAGAAGGCGGGAGGCCCCGCTGCGCTGCAAGAAGCAGTAGCGCCAGGGAGGCGGGGGTTGGGGGGTCCCCGCCCTCGGGGCGGCCCTGGGCAGGCGGCGGGGCGGGAGCGCGTGGGCTCTGCCGCGGGCCTTCCTCGCCCAGCGCTGCGCGCTCACCATGGCGGGCCCGGCGCCCGGGTGGCGGCTGCGGCCGCTGGCAGCGCTGGCCCTGGTCCTGGCGCTGGCCCCGGGGCTGCCCGCAGCCCAGGCTGGGCAGGCGCCGCGCCCCGCCGAGCGGGGGCCCCCGGTGCGGCTCTTCACCGAGGAGGAGCTGGCTCGCTACGGCGGGGAGGAGGTAGGCGGGCGCGGCGCGGGCCTAGGGATCGGGGCCGCGGCTGCCGGTGGGGAGGGAGGCGGGACCCGGGAGGCGCCGTGGGGACGCGCGGCTCGCGGCGGGCGCCCCCTCCCGGAGCCCGAGCCCCGCGCTGGGCGCCGGCGGGCTGGGCCTCCTCTCTCCCGGGTAAGGGCGAGTCCTCCAGAGTCGGGCGCCCTGCTTGGCCCGCGCTTCCCTCTCAGGCGCTTCCCTTTCCCCGGGAACTACCGCCTGGAGCCAGCCTGTTAGCTATTGGTCTGTATACAAACCGCAAAACTTTGTTTCTAATGTTAGCATCACCTGGTGGCGGTCACTCTGGTATTCATTGGGGAATGGCAGGTGAGGAAGGGAGGGAAGGAAAGCCTGTTCCTTGGGTGAGGTGGGGATTGGGGCAGGTCCAGGGACCATCCAGGCTTTTCCTGCCTCTAGATCCCGGGCCTCCTCTGCAGCTGACTCCTCAAACCTAAGTAGTGTCTGTGCCCTTGAGGTTGAGCCCGAGCCAGGGGTGAGCGCAGACCAGGAAACGGGTTAGCGACAAAATCCCCCAACACACACATTCCCACATCCAGTTCACCCAGTAGTGTGGAGGACTCCAGAAACTCACAACCACCTGCCCGTCAGGTTTGGGGGACCCCGTGCCTTGTGAGGGAACCAGGTGGTACTCAGAAGGGCCATGGGGGCGGGGCAACGTTAGAGGGGGAGGTCAGGACATCAGGTTTGGTGGGGAGAGCATAGTATAATGTCATTTCAGAGCTGGGGAAACCAATTTAGTGCTTTTATAGAAACAGGCATGCCACCCATTAATGGTAGAGCAGGAAGTGGCTGGATCTTCTCTTGCTCAAACTCTCTGACCTAGTAGGTTTTAGATGGACTAGGATTTTAAGGGGGACTTGGAATCCTGGCCCTGGGCATCAGGTTTTAAAAGGTTGGTTAGAACTATGGGTCCATGAAGACATAGAGAGGGAGACACAGCAAGGATGTGACTGGGTATTCAGAGATGCATTCTTTGGGTGCAGAGTCAGGGAATCTGTTTAGAAAAGAGTTAACATGGCAGGCCTGCACTCTAGAAAGGCCAGCTTGCAAGGGTGGCCCTTGGTAGGTGTCTGGATTTCCTATGTTCCCACCCCTCCCTGATGGTAAGGGTGGCTTACCTGCCTCTGCTGTGCATACGGATAGTGTGGCTTATGTTGAACATTGTATGCAGCAGCACTCAGACCAGCCCCCCAATACAAAGCTTGGGTGCTGAGTCTCTAATGGGCTTCCCTGGGCAACATGGTGCTCCTGGGGGCTGCATTGTGTTGCTGGCGGAAGGGTGTATCAAGGGAAGAAGAGAGTTTAAAGAAGTCTGCACAGAGATTACTCCAGATTCTACCTCTTTCTTTTCCCCTTCTAGCCGTGAATACAACCATATGCTGAGTTCTTCCATATGTGGGGTGGTCCTGGGGACCCTCAGCACAGAATCCAAGGAAAGACAGTTCAAAATGGAGGGTACAACAATAGTACCTGGGATGATAGAAAGACTCTTGGGGTGTTTTGTCGGGGATTGATTGGGAGCACTTGACCACTGAGCTCCACCCCCAGCAGAAATTTTGTATTTTATTTAGGGACAGGGTCTCACTGAGTTGCTTAGCACCTCACCATTGCCAAGGCTGGTTTTGAACTCTCAATCCTCCTGTCTCAGCCTCCCCAGCCCCTGGGATAGGACTTACTGCAAGGAATTGTTTATGCAATTATGGGAGCTGGCTAGGAAAGTCAAAAATCTGTAGGGCAAGCTATCAGGAATTTCTTCCTCATGACCTTCCTTCCAAGGATCAGGTCAGACTTGTTCTTTTTTTTTTAATTTTTAATATTTGTTTATTTATTTTTTAGTTTTCAGCGGACACATCTTTTTTTGTATGTGGTGCTGAGGATCGAACCCGGGCTGCACGCATGCCAGGCGAGCGCGCTACGGCTTGAGCCACATCCCCAGCCCCAGACTTGTTCTTAGGGAAAGTTCTAAGCCTTCCAACTGATCAGATCAAGCCCATCCAGATTACCTAATACTCTCCTTTGTATAAAGTCACCTGATGGTAGATATTAACCAAGTTTCCAAATACCTTCATAGCAACACCTCACTGAGTGTTTAATCAAATAATTGGGTTCAGTAGCCTATCCAAATCAACATAAAGATCACTATCACAATGATTATGGTTATAATGAGTTAAATGAGATAGTAGCTGGGCACAGTGGCTCATGCCTATAATTCCAGCAGCTCGGGTTCACAGGTTCAAAGCCAGCAAGGCACTAAGCAACTCAGTGAAACCCAGTCTCTAAATAAAATACAAAATAGGGCTGGGAGGTGGCTCAGTGATTGAGTGTCCCTGAGTTCAATCTCCAGTACTAAAAAAAAAAAAATTGACAGTGATACGCAAAGTGCTTCTAAGCTTGGCATAATGTTTAGCATAAACCTTAATAAATGTTAGCTGTTATTATTTTGTTAGTTTATTATTAAAGCTAATCAAACTCTCCTACTAATTCCTATTTCATTTTCTTAAAAAAAAAAGCTATTGAGGGGCTGGAATTGTGGCTCAGTGGCAGAGCACTTGCCTTGCAAGTGGGTTCCATCCCAGCACCACATAAAAATAAATAAATAAAGGTATTGTGTCCATCTACAACTAAAAAAATATTTTTTTTAAAAAGCTGTTGATAAATCATTAAATTCATCTTACGACCCAGAAATAGTTTACTAATGCCTCTGTGGTGAGAAATACACATTTTTTAGAACTGGAATGTAGTTCAGTGGTTAAGCACTTGCCTCACATGTGTGAATCCCAGGGTTCAATCCCCAGTTCCAGAAAAGAAAAAGACAAAAAAAAGAAAAAGAAAGAAAAGAAAAATATGATTTTAGATGATTGGAGGGCAAGAATTTTTTTCTGTAAAAAAAAAAAAAATCACAAAAAAAACCCATGCAAAACCAGGCACTGTGGTACATGTCTATAATCTCAGCTATTCATGGGTTGAGGCAGGAGAATCACAAGTTCGAGGCTAGCTTGGGAAATTTAGCAAGATCCTGTCTTCAAAACAAAAACAAACAAACAAACAAAAAAAAACCAAAAAGCTCCATCTGCAGCACTTCCCACCCCCAACAAAAAATAAATAAATAAAGAGTCACCAGTGAGGAACTCCTCTGTTTCAGGCTCTGGTCTAGAGTCTGAGGGTGTTGGAGGCTCTGAAACATTGGCCAGTTGAGGGATAAGGCTGTTTGCTCTACTGCTTTTGTGTCCCCACAATGTGGTACTGTCATGGCACTTTCCACTGACCCCTGCTTGACCACAGGAAGAAACCTAGCTCGTGAGGCAAACCCAAGACCCAAAAGCAAAGTGAAGGCCCTGGTCTCCTTTTATAGGGTCCCTCTCACCTACTACCTGTCTGTCCTGGGTGAATTCCCTGGGACACTGTGTTCCTCTCCTAGAGCTAGGCCAGTGCCTTCTGTGCTAGGTGTGCCATCTGGTGGGAAGGGCAAGAGAGTGGACTGAACGTTGGATCCCTAAGCTCTGGGTTCTAGGTCCTGCCTCCCTTCTGTTCACTCTGTGACTCAGGACAAGTCACTTCAACTCTCTGGACCCAATTAACCTCATCTGCAAAATGAAGGTGTTGATAGATTGTTTTCAAGGCCACTTCCTGTTTCAACTTCAAATTCCTCCAAAGTCCTTGTCACTTGGGAATTACTGGGGGGGGGGGGAACAGTTGGACAAGGTGGTGCACACCTGCAATCCAGCAGCTAGGGAGGCCGAGGCAGGAGGATCTCGAGTTCAAAGCCAGCCTCCACAACTTAACAATGTCCTAAGCAACTTAGGGAGACCTTGTCTCTAAATAAAATATAAAACAAGGGCTGGGGATGTGGCTCAGTGGTTAAGTGCCTCTGGGTTCAATGTCTGATACCAAAACAAAAACAAAACAACAACAACATACTTTCCTTTAGGAAACTCTGTGATCTTCCACTTGGTTATCTGATTCTTCTTTGCTTTCACAATATTTAAAACTTAGAGGATGATAAAGGAAAGTATCATTTATTTCCCTGAACTGCTAATGGCCTTTCATATCTTGCTTTGGTGAATCTTTTCTCTTTTTTAAAAATATTTTTTAGTTGTAGGTGGACATAATACCTTTATTTATTTATTTATATGTGGTGCTGAGTATCGAACCCAGTGCCTCATGTGTTTTAGGCAAGCGCTCCACCACTGAGCCACAACCCCAGCCTGCTTTGGTGAATCTTAACCCATTGAGTCAGGACTTTTATTATCCTCCTGTTATGTAGGAGATAACGGAGACACAGAGGGACTAAATAATTTGCCCATGGCAACACAACTCAAAGCCAGGCCTGTTTCACTTGAAAACTTGCACTTGGATTGTGACACCATGGTGACTCCTACTTTGCTTTGTTGGCAAAAAGACAACCCTCCTGGTATTATCTATGACCTGCTATAGTCATAAACAGATAAAATGATGTCTCCAAAATGGACATCCATAAGGGTCATTTAAATGGGCACAAAAGATCTCATCTATCCGGGTAGATGAGGGGATGGAGAGACCATGGGGTGAAGCTGGTGATGAATGCATATCTTTATCACGTCTCTCGTTTCTTCTCCTTTCTTCTTATTTATGCTCCCAGGGCTTCTGCCTACCCTTTGCCCTCTTGGTTGTCATTTCCCAGACCTGAGAATCTATACTGAGAGCCCTGTTGTCAGTGGATTCCAGCTAACAGATTATTCCGCACCACACACTTGGTGTTTAGCTGATAAGATCGCTCCTCTGCTCACCTCTGCCACTTCTGTGTCACAGCAACGTCCCTAGGAGTGCTAAACACACCCTTCTACCCCTTCACTATGACTTCCCCTAGCTTTCAGTATGTAGTTTAACGAGAAGATAAATATTTCACTGTTGAAGAAGTGGAGAACATTAGTGATAAAGATGTATGTTTTGTTTTGGTACTTGGGATTGAACCCCAGGGTGCTCTATGGAGCTACACCACCCGTCCTTTTTATTTTGAGACAAGGTCTTACTAAGTTGCTCAAGCTGGCCTCAAACTGGTGATCCTCTGCCTCAGCCTCACCATTAACAGGCATACACCACTGCACCCAGTCAAAATGCATGATTTTATAGCATGTCTATTATGTTTCTATGACTCTTTGCACACTGAAAAAGAAAAAATATCAAAGAAAAGTCCACAGAATGGAAAATATGACGAACTGTTGTAATTATAGCTGTAATGTATTTTAGAAATTGATATAAACACATGACTCCACTTGAGAAGCAATTGAAGCTGAGGAACAAGAAGTCATCACCGTGAAGGAAGGGCGGTAAATTGACACAATGACAAGTGCAGTCTGCTGCCACGTGAAGCTACTCCATTTAAATGACCCTTGTTAGGTGAAGTATAACAAGTGTCAACAAAGTCAGGGAAGTTCTGAGGCCTGTCTTTATGGAATAACAAAAGCCAACCATTTACTGAGCTCCCATGTTGGGCCGGGAGTTCTCACATACCCAGTTTCCTCCAGCACTCCTGCAGGGTAGGAAGGTGGGGTCCCCGTGTGACATTAGAGAGATTGAGGCCTGACAAGTCATGTGGCAGTGGGGTACGTTTCCTTGAGTAAGTTGCTTACCTCCTCTGCCTGTTAAATGTGGTCAAAAAACACTTAGCCGTGAGCTCCACAGGAGCAAGGACCCCACCACGGCTGCCCCAGAGAGAAGCCAAGCAGCCAAAGATCCTGAGACCCAGCAGCAATTCGCCCTTCACCGGGCCTTTGAGCCTCCTGGCTCATCTGTACCCTGATGGGTTGAGATGGAAGAGAGACCTGATCTTTGGTGACATGGCACCATGACAGTCACCCTAGCCTGAGGCTGACTCGATGGAATTTAGAAAATCCATTCCCTGTGCTTTTGTATTATTCCCTTTTTTTTTTTTTTTGGTGGGGTGGTACAGTTTCTAAGGTAACATTTTATAGCCACTAGTACAGCCAAAATAAAGTACATAACCCGTTGTTAGTAGAACTGTGGACAAACAGCATTGCTTGCACATTTCTGCCACTGTCATATGTTTTAATGTTTTTGAAGGAATTTATTTGTGTCCTTTGACCCAGGAATTCCATATGTTGAAATAAACCTCACGGAAGTAACTTGACAAATTACAAAGTAATTTATAGGAAGATATTCATAATGCTCACATTTATAGTTCCAAGCAATGGAAATACCCAAATGCCCCAGAGAGAAGACTAGCTACACAAGCAGGTGTATGGTATAGTGTCACTCATATAAGATAGGGCCCCGTGGAGCTGTTTAAGTGACAGCCATTTTTCTAATATGTGGAAATGTTATGTGAAAAAAATGTTGCCTACAAAAATTGAAATATAAACTAGATCATCTACACTGGTTGTATCTATGTATGTCCATGGACGATGGGGACATTTGGACTGATTTAAATCATTTATTATTTAATATTCTTTTGAATTTTTATCTGCAAGAAGTTATTCCAATTCCTTTTTTTTTTTTTTTTTTTTTAAGGAAGGGATTGCAGTGCTCTTGTCATGATGCTGTGACTTTTCCAAGGTTTTGCGAACAGGCATGACATTGCTGGGGAAGGTGGCAAGCTTGCTGAGAGCCAGGCTTTGTGATGTATCCACTGCTCTTTGCACAGATGGGAAGAGATTTTACTAACTCGTCCTGTAAGAGCTGGGCTCTTTGTTTCCCCTTCACAGTTTCTCCCTTACTTTCTAGGAAGATCAACCTATCTACTTGGCAGTGAAGGGGGTGGTGTTTGATGTCACTTCTGGAAAGGGTAAGTGGTTTGGCATTTTAAGTCTTTATTTTGGGGGATCTCAGGAGTCAGAGTGGGTACCTGGAGGTGTGAGGAAAGGAAGACAATGTTGGGAAAGTTCTTTTCCTTGCATCTTAAATGACCAGAATTGAGTTAATCTTTGTCAGAGTTTTACATCAACAGATTTTTTTTCCTGTTAACGTCATGCTCCTACTCAGAAGCCTCCCATGGCTTCCCATTGCTGATAGAATCAGATTCAAACTTGATGGTTGACTCTAAATGAAGCAGTGAGAAAAATATTCCTTAGCAAGGAGTTGGCATCGTAGAACATTTTTATGCCACTTAATAACGGTTTCCCTACTTGTAACTACAAATGATATCATGGAAGTAGTTTTGTAATGGTTCATCTTTTGATTAATTCCCAAACTGATGACCAGACATAGACTCAGCATCCACCAATATTTAAGGAGGCCAGATATTTTTTCTTGTTTGCATTTGTAATATTTTTAGAGGACTAATTTCATTTTGCATTTCCCCCCAAGTCACCTCTCAGCTCATGTGCGCGATTTGTTCCATGTTTGAATTAATGAAATCCCACCTGCTGGCAGGGAGCGGCTGCTGGACTTTCCGTCTTCGGTAGCTTTGTCTGTCTGCGGGCCTGCAGCCTTTCTTTGCACTGGGGACCTCAGAAGCCTCCATGTGCAGGCTCCTGGCTGTGCTGCCTGCACACCCACACTCTTCCTTCCTCCCTACTACAGAGTTTTATGGACGAGGAGCCCCCTACAATGCCTTGACTGGGAAGGACTCCACCAGAGGAGTGGCCAAGATGTCCCTGGATCCTGCAGACCTCACCCATGATATCGTAAGCCAGATTATGGGATTTTGACAAAATGCCTCATACCCTCAGCCGTGTTTTTTTTTTTAAACCCTGAGGGCAATAGCAGAGCTTTTAAATTTAGCCTGTTTACCCTCTAGTCCACTTGGTGTGGTATTCAATCATTTTCTTAAGTAGATTATCTTACTGTGTCACATCTACTCAGAAACCTCCCAAGATCAGGTCCAAACGCCTGTGAACTTGTGATCTAACTCAGTGATCTTCATAGTTTGGCCCCAGCCTCCCTTGGCAGCCTGATCCCTCTCACAGTTCACACTCACCACATCCCAGCCTCTTTCAGGTTTGCTGTTCATCTCTGAGACCTGCCCCACTGCCAACAACTCTAGGTAGCTTAGTGAATGAACTGGACTGAAAAGCAAGGTCTCCCTCTATGCTCCTATTTTTGTGAAGGAGAATATAGCATTAAAAAAAATTGATCCCCATAATTAGGCTGTCATTTGCCCCAGATGTGCTCAATATCAAATCAACATTGAGATGAAATCCAATTTTTGAGCTGCAAGAAATTAAGAAAAGGGGAAATATGTTAGTTGGCTTTGGGTTATTGAAACAAAGCACCTGAGATAATTAACTTATAAAGGAAAGAGGTTTATTTCAACTCATAGTTTTAGAGGTTTCAGTCCATGATCAACTGACCCCATTGCTTTTGAGTCTGTAATGAGGCAGAACATGATGACAGGAGCATGGGGCAGAGCAAAACCATTTACCTCAGGGCCAGGAAGCAAAAGACAAAGAAAAGGAAGCTGGGATCCCACAATCCCTTTCAAGGTCATGCCCCCAGTGACCTCCCATTAGGCCCCACCTCTTAAAGGTTCCACCATTTCCCAATAGTATCACCCCAGAGACCAAGACTTTGACACATGGACCTTTTGTAAAGAGATATTCTAGATCCAAATTTTAGCAGCAAACATACATAAATGTATAGCAGGAGGAGTAGAGAGGGCAGTAAGAGGAATCAGGACAGAGAAAGTAGACACAGGCTGTACCAAAGCACACCCCACCCAGGATGGTGTTCTCTACAGGGTCTTTAATTCCCACATCAAACAGCAAAAAATGGTGAAGCCATTGCTCTCCCCATACCATAACCCATCCCCACACACTATGTGGCTCGTCAAGATATTTTTTCTCTTGCATGTGGGTGTCAGGAACGCTGTGAAACAGGGTTGGAGAAAGACCAACACCAAACACGATTCACTCATGCCCACCCCTGTGTTTCTTTCTCCCCAAGACGGGCCTCACAGCCAAGGAGCTGGAATCCCTGGACGATGTATTCACCAGGGTGTACAAGGCCAAATACCCCATCGTTGGCTACACAGCCCGGAGAATTCTCAATGAGGACGGTAGCCCCAACCTGGACTTCAAGCCTGAAGATCAGCCCCATTTTGACATAAAGGATGAGTTCTGATGTTCCACCTGCAGGAGGAGGTTCTTGGAAGAGTGAGCTGGGGAACAGGTGCTCACTCTCCTACAAAATAGGCTGCCTGAAGCCTCTGAGTCACCTGGATCTGAATAAAGCAGAAATGAACTTGGAAGAATGAATGCTTTTTATTGTCCTTGGTCCCGTGTTGCCTGCCTGGGTATTCCTGCGTGCACATCAGTGAGGGTGCTAATAATAGCCCTAGGGGGAGGCCTCCTGCCTGTCCACATTGGCCCTCTCAACAGTGAATAAGAGGTGACCTTTATTTCTTCTTTATACTTTTCTATATTGGCCAAATTTTCTTCTGTGACCATGTTTACTTTATAATAAGAGAAAAAATAAACTTCATATTGTTGGAAAAGGAGAATTCTTATCACCTCCTAGGAGCCTTGTCACACTTGTGGGTTGGGTAGGTTTGTTCTGCCTGTCCATAGTTCATAGTCCGGTTTCTTGTGCCCCTACCTGTGTAGGTGCCAGGCAAAAGGGGCCATGCAAGCAGTGTGTCAGGAACGGAGAGGGATTAGTTGAAAAGGTGGGCTATGGGGAAGGAGGCGAGCACCCGACCAGCTGCAGCCCCATTTACAATTGGAGAATGGTAAGGAGAGCCAGAATCCAGCCTGGTGGAGCCTGGTGGGTGGTCATTCCAAGAATGGTTACACACTTGCCTTATGAGGCCAGATTTCAGGACAAAATCCCCCTTGAAGGGTAGATATATTTTCTCTGGGGAATAGTAGGCAATGTCTGGAGATATTTTTCTATTTTTGGTTGTCACAACAACTGCAGGGTGCTACTGACATCTAGAGACCAGGGATGCCACTAAACATCCTATAATGCACAGGATAGCCCTTTGTTTAGTCAGCTTTTGCATTGCCATGACCAGAATAGCCAATAAGAACAGCTTAGAGAAGGAATACTTTATTTAGAGCTCACAGTTTCAGAGGTCTCAGACATCTAGAGACCAGGGATGCCACTAAACATCCTAATGCACAGGATAGCCCCTTGTTTAGTCAGCTTTTGCATTGCCGTGACCAGAATAGCCAACGAGAACAGCTTAGAGAAGGAATACTTTATTTAGAGCTCACAGTTTCAGAGGTCTCAGTCCATGGATGGCTGACTCCATTGCTCTGTGCCCAAGATGAGGTAGCACAGTACGGGGGAAGGGCACAGCGGAGGAAGCTGCTCAGCTCATGATGGGGTCAGGAGGAAGGGGGTGCAGGGAAGGGGTTAAGGGAAGATGCACCTTTTCAGGGCAAACACCCAATGACTCAACTCCAGGCAACCCCACTTGTCCAACCCCACATAAGTCCATTTAAACTAGGATGGACTGGGTGATGGCTCTCACAATCCAATCATTTCACACTCCTGCATTAATATAGGAGTTTTAGGGGGACATCTTATATCTACCCATTAATACCCCTCTACTACAAAGAATTATCTAGTTCAAAGTATCAGGCTAAGGCTGAGAAACCCTGTTTGGCTGATCCCAGAAACTTTTACAGTAGAGATGAATTTCTTTGATATAACGCTTTGTTATCAATGTAAATAGCAACTGCCTCTGGGTGCACCCCTATAATCCCAGCGGCTCAGGAGGCTGAGGTAGGAGGATCTTGAGTTCAAAACCAGCCTCAGCAAAAGCAAGGCACTAAGCAATTCAGTGAGACCTCATCTCTAAATAAAATACAAAATAGGGCTGGGCATGTGGCTCAGTGGCTGAGTGCCCCTAAATTCAATCCTTGGCACCCCCCTCCCCAATTAAATAAATAAATAGCAACTGCCCCTCAAAAGGATTTTTACGTGAAGCAGAAGAATGTCCAAAATGTTAATTCCTGGGGCCCACCCCCAGGGCTTATAATTCCATGTTTCTAGAACATGGCCTAGGAACTACATTCCTAATAAGCATCTCAGGAGATTGTGATATCAAGGGGCCCAAATACATTTTGAGAGACAACTGCCTCATGACTTTCTAGTCACCTCTTGGGGAAATGTCTCAGATCTACTCTGAAGACCAACGCTGACATTTGCTGTCCTCATGAGTATGATACAGGACGCGGGAGTCTAATGGCAAACTTCTGGGTCTCACTCAAGAAGTTGGACACTTGACGGCCCCAAAGAGAAATGGACCTGGAACTTAGCAGACAGGATTCTAGCCTGGAATTCTCAAAGCCAATCATGCAGCCAAGGTGGTCTGTACCAGGACATTTTGCCCCTGTTGATGTACGAGCCTTTGGGAACACCTGAGAGATGAGTTCTTATGTGTCCACTGCTTCCCGCATCAGCATGCAATGGAGGGGGGCTGGAATTCCACTCTTTAGACCCCAGTCTCTTTGGTAGGTCAAAGTCTTCAAATTCAGGCCGGAACTTTCCAGAATTGCTCTTTTCCCCATTTCCCTCCCTCAACCCTGACTGCACCAAAGCATAGTTTTTCCTCCTGGCTTCGAACTTATTACTTCTTCCAGGACAACTCTGCCTGGTTCCCTGGCCTGCACTTCAAAGGCTGCCTCCACAGCCAGCAGGAGAAACTATGAATATGATTATGTCTCTCTATTATTTAGAGATTCTGGACCAGATTGTGCCAGGATGGTGTGTACAAAACTCTGGGCAGCCTGCACATGTTCCAGAGAGGTGGATGTAGCCCCAGGGGAGGGGCATATGCTGGCATGTGAATTTGTATCACTGGCACAGATCCTTGGAAGTCCCAAACTGTGGGGAGCAGTGACTTGGCTCAGGATCTCTGACTGTCTTGCAGCAGGAGCCTGTGCCTGCTCTGGGAACTTCTTGTGCAAAGGTGCAAGACAAGATTGCCCAGTTGCTAAGCTGGGGAGGTAGCTCAGTGGTAGAGTGGTCGCCTAGCACATGCTTGGCCCTGGGTTTGATCTTCAGCACCACATAAAAATAAACAGAATAAGGGTATTTTGTCCAATTATAACTAAAAAATAAATATAAAAAAGAAATCTTAAAAAAAAAAAAGATTGCCCAGTTGCTGTGGGGACGCTCTTCTTAAAGAGGTTTTGTACAAGGTACAGGACCATCCATCTTGACCCTGAGTTCAGACACCAGCTACCAGGGGTAGAGATTTATAAGGACAAAAAGATAATTATAATTAGTCTTTGTCCTTCAGCCTACCTGCTTTGAAGAAACTTCCTCACCAAAAAAAAAAAAAAAAAACCCTTTTGATGATAAAACCTATATAATAAACATGCTGAGCCAGCTCTGGGTCACTGTTTCACCACCAGAGAATGGTGTCCCACCTGCTCCCAGATTTCCCCTCTGTGAGTCTGTCTGTCTTTTCCAATCTCCCATCGCCCTTCACTGGGTTCTGAATTCATGGCTGTGCAGGTTGCAGCACCAAGTCTCACTGCCCCATACACCCCCTACCCCCACATTTGCTTATAATGTTTTCTTTGACTTAAAAGCTTCTGTCCTCCTTTTAAAACTCAGCCTAAGCACACCTCTGCCAGGACACCTTCCTCCACTCCACTCTGGGATCCCCTGTAACCTAGATTGGCCTGTGCACCTGCTTGGCTGTATATGTCTATTTATGAGCTTGCCACCCCAACAGGAGCATCCTGAGGGCCCAGCACAGGCACACGCTAAGAGTGACCAGACTGTCCAGGTGGCCTTGTACTTTCTTGTTTTTTTGCACTGAAAATTCTATATCCCAAGAAGCTCCTCGGCCCTGCACAAAACCTGAGGAACTGCACAGTCCAGGGCGCTTCCCAGCTGGAGGGCCTCAGGCATGATGAGGGGACCTGTGCCACCCTAGGATGAGGTAGGAAGGAAGGAGTGTGAGTATTGTATTGGGAGGAGATAAGGCTGAAGGGAGGAGGTCCATGGGATAAAGGAGGTGGTTGGCTCTTTACCAGTCCCCACAAGTTCAGCTTCAGCATCACCAAGGGGAAGCTCAATGCTTTGTCTACAGTAGGTGCTCAGCCTATTGGAGCATGTTGATATCAGTACAAATTGTGAAGTTCTTCCCCAAATCCAAGTTCCTCCCACTGCATGACAACCTCTCTGTACTCTTTCTTAGGGAGATATTTCTCTGCATCCCAGAATGCCAGTCAGTAGCCCCCCTCTCTGTACTCAGGCTTGGAGCTTCACCCCTTGCTGAGGGCACTGGGCCAGCTCCCTTGCCATGACAGGGAGGAGGAGGAAACAAGGCCCTGGAGCATGGAACCATTGGAAAGCTATTAGTATAAGGCCAGCTGCTACCGAATGTCCCAGAAGGGTGATCAATGGAGTTCACTGACCTGCAGAAGAGCAGAGCAGAGTGGCCTGACCAGCAACCCAGGTCTCTAGAGGTGGAGGTCGTGCAGAGGTCATCCAGCTCAGGTCCCAGCCTTATTCTGGGCTGAAGACCTCCTGCAATCACCTCCTCAGCAGCTTCCAGGAGGAAAAGCGAAGGGGCCTGAATAAAGCTAGCCCACCCACCTGGCTTCCTTTGGGAAGCTTTTTCAAGACCAATCTCCCAAAAAGCCTGGCCTGCCTGCTACCCCCATCCCCTCAGCCACCTGAGGTGCTGCTGCAAGGTGCCAACGCTGGAAATACATACCCAGAGATTAGTCCCCAGGGGACAGCGAGTGTCCTGGCTCCAGGATGTGAGGACCAGAGAGCCTCTGTGGGGCCCAGGGAACCCAGCAGACTTCTCTGACAGATGGTGGCTTGGAGTGCTCTAAAGCCTCAATGATTAAGGCCTGGAATAGGCTGCCCCACATCTGTGGGGGCAGTAACTGACCAGGCAGAGGCTGGCCCTGCAGGCTCTGTCCAGGACATCAAATGTAATCATTGCCTGGAGGATTATTTCATACCATATCAGGTCGGTCATCTTTTATGCTCCATTTCACAGTCTGAGAGCCAAGTCCATGTGTAACCTCTCTGTGCCAGATGCTGCTTTCTTCTCTGGGCTCCTCGGCCACACAGAGCTGAGGAACGTTGCTCAAGCTTCCTGGGGAGTTTGCAAACAGCGGGTGCAAGGAGTTGATGACCCTGGGGGAAACCCTCCGCTAATGGGAGCCTGGGTAGACAAAACCCCCACAGAGCCTTTCGAGGCTCATTCTATTCAGCTCAGGTAAGATTGAGCCCTGTGAGATAATACATGAGATAACCAACTTTAAAGGAGAA